GAACAGGAAGCCAAAAAGCTGGTGGACAAAAATATCACGAAGAAACTGATAAATAGTCATTGGTTTCATTTGACAGCAACAGCTAAAGAATCTGACCAGGATCTAAATCCACCACGTCAGCTGCTAAAAGACAGACTTGTGCATTTAATTATCAGACACCTGAGGTAAACAGGGCAGGTGGAGCTCATAATAACAGTGTGTGGGCCCGCAGGTTGCTTACTTCATCTCATTATGTCCACAAACCTTCTTGGACAAACTGAGAAGATCTTTGGCGTACTTCTCTTCCACTGTAGCCCTAAAAAGGAAATCACAACAGAGCACAGTGAGTCAAGATGTTACAAGCTCAAAACCATTTCATATTAATATGAAAAAATATACAGAAAAGTCACTCAGTGAGTGTACAACATTGGCCTGGGTGACAAATCAATTTAATCAATTAATTCAAATTTTTTGTTTGGGTGATTTAAAAAAGTAAATCAAATTTTTATGTAATAACGTCTTTTTGCCCCCCCCCCCCCAGAGCTTCCGTAGCATTTGTTTCACATAACCGCGACAACAACGTCACAGCACGCGCATGAAACAGCAACAGCAAGCGACTCCATGGCCACCAGTGAGAGTGGGATGTTTGTTCCTAAGAAAGGAATTAAATCATCCGTTGTTTGGAACTGGTTTGGATTTGCAGTGACGGACGTGGAGTGTGGCACTTTTATTCCAAGAGGGTGTTCATTTATTCATTATTCATTTCAGAAATGAGGGTTACATTTATCTTGCTTGTGAATAAATAAAAAACTAAATTGGCTTGAATGTGCCTTCCATTTATTCTTATTGCTATTCTTAATAATTGAAGGGGAGAGAGAATCGTAAAAAAAATTCATGAATCGAATAAAAAAATTAAATAAATTTGGACATTTTATTTTTAGGCTGTATCGCCCAGCCCAAGAACAACCTGCAGAAAACGGTTTATTTCATATTCAGTTTCTGTCCTACCTATCAGGGAATGGACACATTTATGAATTCACATGTAAGCGAATGAAACTATGAATGACAAAAAAGTGGGTCAAATCTCCAAATCTGAACAAGAAACTTCTTCTGCTCTCTTGATCCCTTAAAATGTTTTTAACCTGTTCTTCACATCTCTATAAGCATACGAAACTTTGTTGGGGCTCACATTGAATCAGGAGCCTTGATAACTGGTCAAACCCAACCTCATAATGTGTGTGTGTGTGTGTGTGTGTGTGTGTGTGTGTGTGTGTGTGTGTGTGTGTGTGTGTGTGTGTGTGTGTGTGTGTGTGTGTGTGTGTGTGTGTGTGTGTCAGATATTGGCAGCAAAACACCTGATTGGAGCATCCCTACTAATTTACATAGGAAAGCAGGTGGGAGATGGCACAGGCCTTTGATATGTTACATTAGACACACCAATCTGCCTTTAACTAAAACAACTGGGTTATGCAATGCAATTCTACAAGTTCAGTTTTCAATATTATGTTGGTTTGATAATTCACACAGATGGAACAAAATGAGTCTGGCCTTCTATAAAGTCACACATCAACCATAATGAGGCTTGGCCCCATAAGACAAGCCAACCAGAAATGTCCCCGCTGACTTATTCCACTACACGTTACTGACACTTCTGTTTATTTAACCGAGTCTGACTGATCAGGTGCCAAAACTCTTAATGATTAATGGAATTCATGGATTTCTCCACAGATCAGCTAAAAAAAGACCCAAACACTGGATGACTAAGTGTCAAAGTGTTTTCTTACAGCTTCTTTCATGCTCATGAGTGCTACTTCTTGTATTTTACAAACCACCGTGTTTCACTAAACCCCTTCAATTCTTAATTTAGGGAACTTTCAGTTATGTTATTATGTAATACCCCCCATTATGTTTCAGGGGGTTTAATGTCTGTGCAGATGTTTAGTGAACCGGGCCGTAACACAACTTTATTACTTATGAACGTCTGTGGAACAAATCAAGCTGAGATGATGTCAGTGACTGAAAACTGGACTTGGCTTAGTGTGTGTGTGTGTGTGTGTGTGTGTGTGTGTGTACTTTATATGCTTAAGTTGACAAACTTAAACTTAACGTTTAACCTGTAGTGTGTGAACATTTCCACATTGTGAGGACATCTGGCCAATTCACACAATGACAAAATACCCTTAAATGTGGTTTTAGAGGTATAGTGTGAACTAACGTTGGTTTAGGTTAGGGTTAAGGATAGAACAGCATTGGTTAGGGTTAGGGTCAGGCACAATGGGTTAGCGTTATGAACGAATGAACGAAAATCAATGACGGTCCTCACAAGGATTGCCAGACAAGAGTGTGTGTGTGCACGCGCGTGTGTACGTGTGTGTTAGAATGAGGACTGATTATCACTTCAGGAAGAAGGGATTTAAAACTCAACTTCATACAATAAAATGTATGCTTCATATTTGTAAGGACTACTATTTTAGTCTTAAATTTGAACGTTCGTAATTTTATGGTCGGGAATCAATTTTCTATCATTTCAGAAGTTCTTCTCACCCTACCAGGAAACATTAGCAGACATTTTTGTTTGGTTTTGATTTGAGCTACTTCCTTCCTCACGTCCTGTAAACGTTTTATTAAGCAATAAACTTTGCAGAGTCTATAGCTAGTTCATGTCCCTCCTGTTTTCTAGGTTTCATTTTCATGCAATCTTCTCTTTTTTATTTTTGCAGATTAATTTCCTAAACGCAAACATTAAATCTGCACAGATAACAACTGGCACATGTGGGCAGTTTCTGCAACACGCCTTGATCGTGTCATTACCTGGCTTTCATGAATTCTTCCACTTCCTTACACGTTCTTTTGCCTTCATTGAGATACTGAATGATGGCATCATAGCCAGCAGTAGAGGTCAGATCTGAGGTCTTTAAGCAAAACCAAAAACAAAACAAAAAAGACAATCAATGTCCATGTCATCCATTTTATCATGAACAATAATTACAATTAAAACACAACATTTTCCTTTATTTAACACTTTATCCCAATGCAGGAATTTTCTGCATAAACACAGGTAATGATATATTTGGAATTTTATACCCTGAATGCAGCAGCCTGTAAACATGCTTCTTGTGTAGAATTTTCTTCACATCAGGTTAAAAAGTTTATTTCAAAGCTTAATTATAGAAACATTTACATTATTTTTATTCAAAAGTAGAATTTTATTAATTTCAATTTGTCACATGAAAGCTGATTGCGATACTTTATGACAGGATTTTCAGTAGAGAATGAAAGTCTACCTAAAGTAATTTTGAGCTAACTTCAAAATAAAACATTAGATAAATCACTCACCCAGAAGAAATCCTTGAAATGAAGGTTTTTCATAACTGAAACCGTCCAGCGGGTTTTGTTTGTCTGCCAGGGCGAATCTTCCTACTCTTGCTGTTTCCCTGAGACGAGAGTGAACTGTCTGATCTAACCAGTCATTTTAAAGAGCGCATGCGCACTGGGGATTACAAGCAAGCCAGAAAATTAAGCAGTGATGAAAAAGTTTTAAAGAATGTGCTGTCATCTAGTGGAAGCTACTGGGGTTGCAGATAGGAAGAAGAGGGTCTAGGTTTAGGGTTTAAATTAAATTAAATTAAATTAAATTAAATTAAATTAAATTAAATTAAAAATAACATGGATTTTATAAGGGTGAGTTGTGGCCCTCCAGCACAGGCAGTTGATGCAGAAAGGCACTTTTCCCCACATTTTTATTTAAAGATTTTTACAAGTCATACTAAAATAAAAATAAACATGTTCTCATTATGGAAAATGTAATCTGTCTTTTAGAGTTTGCAACATCAAAACATCAAAGCTTGTAACATTTGTCATGCTTTTTGTTTATTTTAAGCTTAATTAAATATTAGATATTAAACATTTGAATATTTATTGAGAAAAAATCTTTTGTACTATAATTGCGAGCTACACCAGCATTGTAGAAGAAATTCAACTTCTTGTCTAATTTTTGTTGTTTTTACTGTCAGTTACAACAGCTTGTTATGTAATGTCACAACATGGAGACTTTTATCGATGTACACCATCAGATGTGAGGAAATCCAGCTAGCGCACTGTCTCTTCTCTCACACCATGTCCAAAAACCTGGAGGGCGAGGTCATTCGTTACATCCAGACAAATGCAGTTCAGCAAAACATCACAGCCAAACAGAACATCTGGAGTACACGGTTTATAGAGTCTCTGATTAAAAAGGTTCATAGTGCATTTACGGTGAAAACAGAATCGCACACAACAGCATGATAACAGAAAACAAAAACACACTTTACAGTTCTACTATAAGCAGAAATGTGAACATGTGAGCAGAGAAATGGAACATTTTGTCACATTTCTTCTCTATAATAGCAGCTCTTTCATTTTTATATACTCTGTTTAGCTTTGGGAGTTTTTCATGTGTGAGTTCACGTGACAGCAGCCAATCATCAGCTGCCACAAAGGCCAGCCACTTACTTCCTCAATCCGCCTGAATACAGACCATCATTCAGTTAAAGGTGGACTATGGAACAATTTCATAAAAAGCTATATTTAAAAAAAATAACACCTCCATGGGGCGTTTAGAGATGTGCAGAGTGAAAGTATGGTATTTCCTTTAAAAGCTATATTGTTATCCCTCTCAGAAGAGGAGCGACCATAAAAGATCTAAAACCAGAGTGAGTTTAGGTGAAGCTACAATAGACGAACCTTAATAAGAAAATTCACGGCTGGAAACTTCGTTCTATTGTTGCAACTACAACCTCCACACACTAGATACCACTTTCGTGTTCATGTTCCATATTCCACCTTTAACTTTTAATCTGCTAATCCTGTTAAGCCAATTAAATAATGTTATGTCTTTCATCTGAACTCTTGGTGGTCAATAGATCAGAAAATTCTAAGTTGATTTTATGGGTTTAGAGTCCTAAATGGCAAATTTGTGTCTGAAATATTAGAAAAAAAGATTTGTCACAAACTATTTTAATCTTTTTTATTTGCCTCTCTTTATATCAACAGGTTTTCAAATGAGGCACGCAACACCAGAGAAGAGCAACAACACATGATGCATAAGGAAGTATTCTTAAGTATTAAAAAAACAAAACCAAGCCAAGAATGCAGAAGCAGTTTGAGATAAGTACACTTTTACTGCAACAGGTGCTGCGAATCAAATCCACATTACCCAGTAAGATGTAACTAGTCTAAGATGCTCTAAAAAAATAAAGAACAATGTGGTTTACAAGCAACAAATGAATTCAAGTTTATTTATATAGTGCCAAATCACAACAAGAGTCGTCTCAAGGAACTTCACATGGTAAACATTTCAATACAGGTCAGTTCATTAAGCCAATCAGTAAAAAGTTTCCTATATAAGGAACCCAGCAGATTGCATCAAGTCACTGACTAGTGTCAGAGTCTTTACAGCAATCCTCATACTAAGCAAGCATGTAGCGACAGTGGAGAGGAAAACTCCCTTTTAACAGGAAGAAACCTCCAGAGAATCCTGGCTCAGTATAAGCAGCCATCCTCCACGACTCACTGGGGATCGAGAAGACACACACACCCACCAACACCAACGCCAGCCCACACACACACACACACACACACACACACACACACACACACACACACACACACACACACACACACACACACACACACACACACACACACCATACATACCAAGTAGTGTGTCTATGGTTACATTGTGATTTCTTAGTAAATTCTATTTGGTGAGAGATTAACTTTATTGTATTTAGCCTAGTGGATCTATAATTAAATGGGTAAACTAGTAGTAGCACATTCAATGTCAAAGCAAGTAAAATGTTATTATCAGGAAATGAAGAATGTTTAAGTGGTTAGCAACAGTGTTCAAGCCAATGCCCCCCTCCATGAGGCTACTACAGCTCAGCAGAACATCATTGTAGCTTCTTCTGGGGAGAAAAACACTTAGAGAAAAAACTAAGTTAACAGCTGAAATAGCAGGAAATAATGCAGTTAAAGAGCAACTTGTAGAAGAAAGCAGTAGAGTGTGAGAAGTGGTCAGTATGTCCTCCAGCAGTCTAAGCCTATAGCAGCATAACTACAGAGGTAACTCTGGATAACCTAGCCTTTTAGATGAAGACATGTTGGCGGCAGGGCAAGGGATCAAAAATGTTTCAACTCATAACAAATTGTTTGAAACAGGAAGCAAAGAAATAATTTTTCTTTTTAAAACTTGAAAAGTTTTGAAAACCTTTGAAGCAATGTCCTTGCACACTATGAAATTTAGAGGAAATAGCACGGAAAATGCTGACAAGCACGATAGTGGAAGGGTGATGATTTGGGTAAATACAATCAATACAATCAAGCAAATGTGTAAATCAGCGGTGCCCGATCCGTTTCAGTATGTTTTAGGTGTTTCTCTACTCCAACACAATGGGTTCTAGGAGAGTAAAATGCTTCTGCAGAGCTTAATGACCTGCTGAAGAGGTAATGCAGCCATTGAATGAAATTTGTTGGATTAGGTTAACAAGTAAAAAAATGGTGGATAGCAACCCTCAAAGGCCAATAATGGGTATCCTGCGTAAATGATTCAAATACGACATAAAACTCAGTCAACCACCCACAATAACAAACAACACAAACATATGACCATCTAAATTAGTACTTTACTCAGCCTCGCTTATTTTACACTGAAATCAAAAGTATATACATTATGTTGCTAATTCACACACACTGACTGATGCAACATGAATGCAAAATGCCCAGCCTTCACATCACCTGACTGAAGAATGGCGTATTTTTCTGGGACTTCCCAGTTCTGAGGACGTTGATCTTTTAGCAGTGGGGTAATAACTTCAAACACGTTTGAGATACCTGCAGCACTCTAACGTCTCACAAGATTTTCCATTTGATCTGAAGGCGATGGAAAGAATTCCTGCTTCTTCCGCCGATGATCACATGATGATTGTGCTTCCCTTTCCCCAAAAAACATAATTTGTGTGTTCTGAACATTGTGATAAGCTATCGCTGAGTTTAGCTCAGAAAAGGTAAAGCTCTTTGACTCGGTGTGCTGACTTCTGAGATAAATCAGCTTTATGGTGGGGTTAGGGTTCTTGAAAACAACAACTATCGTCTGCTGATGATGTCACATTCATGTGATTCACTCTGGGTTTTCCTCTTGTTGCTTTTACTTTTGATTCTAGCCTGCTGCGATCTCACCAGATATCTCATTTATTACATTTATTAATGAATCTGTCAGTTTTTAACATCTTTAAAACACATTTCCCAGTACAAACAGCACAACCATGTGCAAAGAGTGTAAAGATAGTGCATTTATGTTATGGGACTGATTAGAGGATGCAAAGATAAAACTGTAAATACGAGTAGACTTGTGTGTGTGTGGGAGGAACTTGGCTTTGACTGCTGGGAATTTCGTCACATCGACCGACTATATAAGCGTTCTGTTTCCTATTCTTAGTTTAAACCTGTTCTGTCTTGTCAAAACACAACAGAAGAATACAAAAGTGCACCGAGCGAGACAAACTTCAGCATTCTTACTGGAACTCAGGACAAAAATGGCCAAACAAGGTGAGTTTTTAACAGAATTTGAACAAACTTGTCGATTAAAGTAAATTGATTTTATCCTTCTACTATTTTAACTTGCGAATGTTAGTGTTTGATGTTCATGCTGTTGATTTTTCTTCCTAGATTGTGACGCAGCTGTTGACGTCTGTGCCCAAGAGCTCAGACAAGTTGGAGATCAGCTCTACTGGAAATATAAACTCCTGCATATACTGATGGAAAAATACAAGATCGTCCACAAGATCAGCTGAGACGTCACACCGAAGGATTTCAGTGGGTTTGAGTGGATTTAAAGGAATCACGGCTGTGGAAAATACTGAACCAACCAACACAGAGGAGTCTTGGGTGGTGGAGTCATTGCTGGTGGCCGGCAGTGAGAGGAGGTGTACATCTCACCGGTTACCGGGGAGGACTTTGGACCGATATCATACAGAGGAACTAATGATGGGAGGATTCTGATCCAGTGGCTGGGATAATGGAGGTTTACCAGCTGATATTATTCATGCATGTTTTGTATCTGAACTTTCAGTGCTTGGTTATAGGATATAAAGTTATTTACTTGCAGTGGAAAGTTCTTAACGTTTTGCCTGTGAAGGGATGCAAAATTTAAAAAACGTCTATTTAAAACAACAACAAATAAGCTGTTCTGTATTAAGGATCTATATTCAGCTACTAGTTGGTGTCTGTTTATGATTATAAAATGATTTAGTGTTTGATTATTTATAAACTCAACAAAAATGTCCATTTTGTACATTTCTACCATCATTTCTTTGTAAAGCACGGTGAAAGAATACATGGCTGAGTTGTCTCTACTTGTTCAGATGTGTGGGGTGAATGCTTTTCATTTACAGAATATTGCATTGCTGCCTGACTTTTTGTAACTTTTTCAACTAGAAAAACTATTTATTTAAAAAATG